CGATAGGCAGTGGAATGTGTGCTTTCCGCCTTACTTCCTGTTCCTTGTTTGGTTGTGGGCTTAGGGCAGATTCACACAATTAACTGTCCGTTCGATATTAGATTATATATAGTTAATATAACCTAAGTGATTATAGAAGGAACTATTGTGGTTACCATTTTACTAAAGAAAATATATGATTTTCTTAAGGAATGTTTTCTTCAAATATAAAAGAACTATTACAGTTAACTCTGTAAGTACCAAATGAATACGCCAGAGTTATATACAATGAAGATCTAACAAACAATGGGATGTGTGACTTCCGCCTCATTTCCTGTTCCTTGTTTAGTTGTGGGCTTAGGGTAGATTCACACAATCGATTGTCTGTTTACTCTAAATTGTATATAACTTGTATCCATTTAGTACTCATAGAAGGAATTGTAGAGTCATTTTTACTTATCATTCATCACATCAGAAAATATAGGATTTTTTGGAGGAACAGGCGAACTTTTCTAAAGAAATTATAGTTTACTTTTTATAACTAAAATACTTATGAACTCACCAGCTTAAATGCTGATCTACTCTTTCAAAATAATTTGTATTCTCAGGAAACTAATAGACAGGTATGCGCTCAGGGATTCAGAAGATGGAGCATAGTAGCTTCATGTCTTGTTTTGCTATTTACTTTGGAGTCAATCTTTTGTGAATCACATACTTTGCAAACACTTTAATATTAATGCAATGGTTGTTTGTTACTTTGATTACTATGATGCATGTGTTGTGATACTACATATGACGTCCTCCGCCCCGGAACGTTTCCGTCGTTCCGGTTTGGGGGTGTGACATTATAAAATATAATATAATTTTGTTTTTCCATTTAACCATCTATGGTAAGAAAAAATGTGAACCGAAGACCTGAAGATTGTGCCTGTTAAGTTAGCAAAATTGAAGCAAATTAGAAAAATGGCAACACACTTTGCTTTATTTTCTTATTATATCATCCTACATGATTATAGTTACATCAATGCCACAAGAAAATATCATATTTTCCTTTTTTTGTTAGACTAAAAAATAGCAATCTACTTTGCTAGGTGTCAGAATAACAGAAGTTAAGTTATGAAATTATGCGATATGAAGAAAGTACAAAGCGTCCGTTGCCTAATGCAAGAGTTTGAGCTTGAATTCCATGGTTTTGGAGGTTAGTTTTGCCTTTTCACTAACCCATTAATCTCTCATCTTTCTATTAAAATATTTTCTTTTCTTTTATAAGAGAGGTGTTATGCTCGAACATAGCAAATATCTTAGCTTGAACATGAGTTAGGTTCAGTAAATCAAAAGCTTCAGGTACATTATCATTATCTTTATAGTAAGTTACATTTTTAGTCCCTGATATATATATATATATATATATATATATATATATATATATATATATATATATATATATATATATATATATATAAAGGGAGAGGATCAAACGAGAACACCTAAAAGGTTGAGAACGCGAGAACAATTCTGGATCAATCAATATATAAGGGCATACTAGTAATTGTATATTTTAATTAAATTAAAATAAAATAAAATTCAATCAAATTCCCTTAAATTTAGGATCAGTTACCAAAAAAGAAATAAATATTCAATTTTTTATTTTTCTTATTAATGGAATATAAAAAACATTTTTACCAAAATTTATTTTAAAACTGAAAAAAAAATTCTTAAAAAAATCAATTTTTTTTCTCCTATTTCACGTTTTTTTTGTGTTCAAAAAAATGAATAGAAATCGAACACCAAATTAGTATATTTGTATTCATAAATGATTTTTTTTTTCAAATAACCTGATACTACTTCAATCACAAATAAATACACATCAATTTACAAGTAATCTAATTCCTTTTTTTAATCAATTGAAAATAAAAAGAGTGTAAAAGTTATCATTTCTTCATAAAAAGAATACCTCTAATCATAAATAAATATACTCATTAACACATGCTTACACTATTATTCACAAATGAATACACTGCTATTAACAAATGAGTGCCCTGTTATTCAGAATTGAATAAATGAATACCTCTAATCATAAATAAATACATTCATTCACTGTTATTCACAAATGAATACACTTCTATTCATACATGAATGTACTGCTATTCATTCACTGTTATTCACACATGAATGCACTGCTATCCACAAATGAATAACTGCTATTCATAGATAAATACAATTTTTCATTCTTCCATTTCCTCTCACCCTCCCTTCTTTTTCTCCTATCTTCGAGGTGCAACAAAAACACCCCCACCAGAGGTGTTTGCTGGTGGTTTCCGGCGAGCCAAGGGCAACAGCCCCCTCTGTTTTCTCCCACTGTTTTGCGACATACCAAGCAACCCAAACACCCCCTGTTGTCGTTTTCTTTCTGCCTTCCTCCCCCTCTCATTGACAGTAACTGGAACAAGAAAACGAAGTGGTGAAGAGGTTGCCAGAATAGCCCCAGCCACTCCACTACTGCGATGAACCACCAAATCGGTGGAGGTGCTCCCTATTCTTCTTTCTTCGCTCCTGAAACAATTTCATACTTCATCATTTCATGTTCTTGATAGAAAACCCCAAAATCAGAAAAACACAAAATTGAAAGTGAAAGAGATGGATTTGCAACTCAAAACATCGAATAAAGGTGATATATCAATGAATCGATTCTGAATAAATGAAAGATAAAGGAAGCCCTAATCATACCCTTTACCCTTCGTAACCAGGAAACCACCATCGACATAGCCTCCATCATCAACCTTTATCTTCACAGCAACATTCAAGCAAAATCGAGACCATACCTTCCAACTTGAAATCGATTGCTGGTCTAGAATCTCCAATGAAAACCGATGAACTAACATCGACTTGTAGGAGTGCTCTTTCGCTGATTCTATGGCCTCCTCCTGCTCTATGGTCTGGGTCGGCTTCTAATATGTTGTATGAGATGAGGCGGTGAGATGATGTAGATGCCGATTGTATGGTCAACAAAATAGAGTGAAATAGAGTAATTATAGGAGTTTACAAAATTAGGGTAATACTTATTTACCTTAATAGCCTTTATAATTTTTTTTTAATTTAAAATTTAAAATTTAAATGTATTAATAATTAGAAAAATAACAATTAATTATAGCCACACATCTTAAGAATTAGATGGCTCAGATCTGTTCTCGCGTTCTCAACCTTTTAGGTGTTCTCATTTGATCCTACTCCTATATATATATATATATATATATATATATATATATATATATATATATATATATATATATATATATATATATATATATAACCCTCCGGCGTACCGGCGCGGCAGACCTTTTATATATATATATATATATATATATATATATATATATATATATATATATATATAATATATATATATATATACATATATAACCCTCCGGCATACCGGCGCGGCAGGCCTTTTATAATCATAAATGATTATATAGCGCCACCCGTTCCTTTCTCCTCCGCCACCATCCCCACCACCGCAACCGCCACCGCCAGCACAACTACCACCACCTCTGATATCGGCCGACCCCACCATCACCTCCGTCACTTATATCGTCGCCACCTCTTCCACCACCACCTCTTCTGCCACCAACTGTCATTTTACCTCGAATATGAACCGTCAATTGATAAATGCTACAAAAACGTCAATTAAGGACCAAATTTGCAGGAGAATACTATTTAGGATCAAATTCGCAAAAATCATCAATACTTAGGGACCACAGATGTAATTTACTCTTATCTTTATTAGTGTGTTAACTATACAATTAACTTTCAAATGATTATTACTTATTACTATTTTTCCAAATAGATGGTTGATTTATCTTCATCAGCGTTAAGGAGAACATGTCGACCAAAAAACAAATTGTTTCAAAATTAGCGTGTTAAATAACCATTTTTTCCATTATTAATTATGTTTTGACAACTAACTCGATGTTTATTTGGATTTAGTGGTTTTATACTTGCAGGAGCTAAAACGGAAATATAAGGTTAAGTCATCGATATAGTTGAAAGTGGTATGTTTTATATTGTCATCTTAACAAAGGGACATATACATGGAACAGTTACCTACTTTAGTCTAACGACCAATAGGGCAATATATTTTATATGTTACCTTTAATAACAACGTGCTTCCATTTTTTTACTGATAATAGCAATGTACTTGCATTTCACTACTTATATGGGTTTTGTAATTTGTTTGTTATACATATTGCTATTGTTGATAAAAGTTTTTAAGTACATTGCTTTTATAAGTAAACATTTTAGGTATGTTTCTATATTGTGATAGCACCATATTTTCATTTATTCACGTTACAACATTTTCACTTTAAGAATTTACCAATTATAAAAATATTATCCTAATGCGATTTTAGTTGAATTTACAGCTAGATTAACTGTAATGAATGTAGGCTGCTATAATAATAATAATAAAAGTTTGTATGTGTTTGTATAATCGGAACAAAAGAACAATATAAATACAAAAAATAATGAATTTCATAGTATATCTTTCCGCTTATACTAAATTTTAGTCCCTCGAGTTAGATACAACATAAAGATGACCCAAAATTTGTTATTCTAACCAAAAATAGCAATGTACTTATTGTACTATCTAAGTATATTTTTAGGCAACTTACAACATGTTTACCGTTATTATATGAATGATATTAACTATAACTGGGTAGATTTGTCATTATAAAATATTTTAATGGGAACAAATTAAAGTATGATGCTATAATAAGCAAAAAATATACTTTTTATAAATTTACCTAACAATCAAAAAACTTTTATAGAATTATATTCATGCTACACATATATTTACAAAATATAATTGTATTAAATTGATTGAATATCATCTTCACACGGTTATTATAGCCATCCATGATCACGTTCTTGGCTATCAAATTCAAAACAACTTTATATGAAAGATATAACTATCATTTTATACGTTTTTCATACTACAATGCTATAATTGGAACTAATGAAAGTAGGACACTATAAAAGAAAGTAAAATCGATCTATAATTTTTACATCGGTCAACCCGACCACCAGACGGGTATAACACTAGTTAAAATGAATGTTATACAATTGAGACAAATCATCCGTATACATAATATCATTGGTAAAGCGACAATAATAAACAAGACAGAAAGAAAATTCATTTATGTAAAAGGCGCATCTCAAAGAAGTGAGAAATCATAATCTCCTATGCAACAAAATTTACATGTAGTCGATCTACAAATATAAAAGTTACAAAAAATATCAATGAATTTTAAGGACTCTTTTCAAAAAGACTTAAGATTCTGGATTCGAATCTTACACTTGAATATTGTCTCAAGCTCATTTATCCACGTGTGTGGGATCATCAATGGCATCCATGGTGCTATTAATGGCACCTTCGTTTCTCATTTTCTCTTTCTCTTCAAGTGCCCTCTTCTCTTCTGCTAATGCTGCATCTTGTTCTTCTTTCGTGAATTGATGATACCTTGCCTACATATTCAAACATTTTCAAGAAATAGCAACATACCTTATTAATTTGTTTATTATAGTATCCTAGTTATATTTTTTTCTTCCTATTATAGCATTAACCTTTGAAAAATCTATCCAATTATACTAATGTCATTTTCATCCTCATCCTCATCATCCAATAGTTACTCGATCATAAAAACAGCTATCTTAAGCAATAAGGTTAAATGAAGGGAATAGCAATGTACTATCATTAATTAGTTTATTGTAATGTAACATTCTACTTTCATTTTTTTCCTATTCTAGTGTTAGGGTTTAAAAAATCGACCCAATTATAGCAATGTCATCTAAATTCAAAGGTAGTTGCACTGTTATAATTGGGTAGATTTTTCAAAGTATAATGTCCTATTAAAAAATGTGCTAAATTTGGTAGATTTTTTAAAGTTAAACGCCTTAATAAGAAAAACAAAAAAACTAAAAGTACGTTGTTTCTTTCATTTAGCTCTAAAAGTAGAGGAAACCATCAATATGTTTTTTTTTACCTTGATTGTAATAGTTCCTCTATCCTTCTTATCTTTGATCTTCATCATATCAAGGGAAGGTTGTAGTCTTAATTCAAGTTCCTTCTCAATTTCAGGTTGAAGATCAATCAACTGTAATTTTGCTATGCCCAACCGCTGGTCAGCTCCAATATCATCATCAAAAACCTATTTTGGATTTACACATTATATATTTTAAATACAATAAAAAGGTCTTTGTAATTGTATTATCTTCACCATTTAATCAATTAGGCCACTAGACTAATTTCGGTAGTAATTAAACCATTATACTCTTTTGACCGTTTAAAGAAAATAACCATTTTCTGAAAAAGACATAATACCGAAAAACACAGCGTACTTTCACCACTTCATTCATTTAGTCACTAAATTATTAATCTTTAATGATTATATTCATAGTAGTTCAATGGCTACATCGATAAATTGTGAAAGTACATTGTGCTTTTCTGCATTCATAACATGGTAACGGGGAAAAATGTTTTTAAGGGTTAATGACAAAAATAACCACCCATTTTGAAACTACCTTTTTTTCTTGCGAAATGATTTCATTTTGCAAACAAAAAAAAAAGAGCTTTGCAAAAAACTTAAGATTTTTATGTAGTGGGGTCCATTCATAGAGTAATTTTGCAAAAAAAAAAAAGAAATTTTGCATAAGTCCATGGTTATCTCGTGATAAATGTTCAAAACATGGTTATTTTGTTTACTTACACCTCCCATTTTGGTCAATTTTGTGATTAACCCTTGTTTCAAAGCATCAAAAACAGTATAACGGTTTATTCACTACAGAAATAGTTAAGTAGCTAAACCGATAAAGTGGTGAAAGTATAAGTGCTTTTCTGTATGTTTGTCCTTTCTAAAAGAGGAAGTTGTTACATTTATATTAGACAAGAAAACAAACAAGGGGAAAATACGAATTTGACCTCAACAACAGCAAATTGGGTCTCTCTATCTTCCACAGTGAGATGAAATGTTTGATTCCAAACAGGATTCAAGTTGTTCTCAATGACTTTGGTTTTGAATTTTTCAAGTGGCCGAATAAATGCAACTGCATACGGATCAGATTTTCCCATCATTTCCATATTTTTTAAATTATGTGCCTTCACAACTGTTAACATGAGCTTTCCTTGTGGTTTAAGCTCCAAATCACTGCATAATTATCAACAAAACATCATTAACTTTTATTTTCAAAAGAAAACAAAGTATTAGTGGTTAAAGCATAAAACTGCCCAAAATATTTTTGTAATTGTGTAGAATTGCCATTTTTTCAGGCTCTTAGATATTTTTTTTTTTTGCATTTTCGGTGAAAAGTCAAGTAAAATGGTTGAAGCATTTGCTAAAAATGAGTGATAGTATGTAAATATAATATTTTCATATTAAAATTTACCTTGTATCTACAGGTATACCACCAAGGGGGACAACAATTCTGTGTGGCCATTGAAGCATATCTGTAATAATTGAAGTTACTGTATCCTACATAAATCATAAATCAGGATAAATATTGATATTTTTCTTTTGTAATGCCTAAATGATCCAGAAAATAGCAATCCAATTATATAAAAAAACTTACTTCAATCATGTCCGAAAGTCCAGGAATGGCTGTTAAACTTCCACCAACAGCCTTCAATGTATAATCGAATCTTGGCTTTGGCTGATACCAAAAAAATATCAAGTTAAAATTTCATTTATTTGTTTATTATAACATCCTATTTTCATTTCTTCATAATACAATATTATACTTTGAAAAATCTACACATTTATAGCAATGACATCCGAATACAAAATCACTGCTATAATAGGTAGATTTTTCAATATACACTCTACAACTAAAAGAAGATTTAAACTACGTTGCTATCATTGGGTAGATTTTTGAAGTATAACGCATAAAGAAAAAAATCTCAAAGTACAATACTGTAATAGACTGAAGTGGAAGTATGATGCTAGAATAAACAAATAAATAAAAGTATGTTGCTATTTTTGCATTCTCCCCAAAAGGATTTATTGACTTTTTTCCATTGTATTTGAATTTCTTGCAAATAAACAATTGTTCTCATGAAAAGACAAAAAAAAACACTACACTTTTTACAAGTATTAGCAATTTAGAGGAAGAGTGACATGTACGATCATTAATCTACAATCGTACTTGAGTGTTTGACCATTCAAACCATTATAATCATTTTTCTATTACAAAAAAATCATTATTATTCTAAAATGAAAAAGAACACTAGTGTTTCAAGAATGAGCGTTTTTGGACAAAAGAATCAAGTGTTTCTTCGGCATTTATGTTTCCAAAATTGGCTAAAGTTGTTCATTATTTCAAATTAAACTTTTCCTTTTCAAATTCCCACATCATAATTATGATTAATAGAATTTATTTACACGGTCTCATATAATAAATTGAGAGATACCTCAGAAAGTAAAGCCACAACAACAGCAGAGATGCAAGGAATTTCCTCAGAAAGTTGGAAAATCACACGAATAATTGTAAAAACTTGAAGATCCTTCAACTGTAAGGAATAGAAGAACAACAAAAAAAGATGAACATTTATTAAGTATATAGCTCAATAACATCATTATATTAAGGGCTAATGTCATAAAAGCCCTTAAATTTTCAAGAAATTGTGGGTTTTACCCTTTGGTGTCTTTTGTGTTCATTAAAACCGGATATTTGATTTAATTTTTGCATTTATGCCCTTTTAGAGGGTTTCCAAGTCAACTGCCGGTAACACACACATAACCCATTTAACTCATTGAAGTTGAAACCATTGAATCAAACATAACCCATTCAGACCTGCAAATATATACTTAAAAGGTAAATCATCATCTATACTCTACATAACTAAAGATGCAAACAACAACCCATCACCACCTGTTCGTCGTCTTCTTCAAATATGTTCATCATTTTTTACAAAAACCTCACACACCTGAAATCCACCACTGTTACCATAACTGAAAACCACCATCACCACCATATCTACATTGACATGGTCCACCACCACCTCTCATTCTTGCCCATATCTAAACTTACCTCCTGTGATACTTTCCTCCTCATTCACCATGGTCATCATGGAAATACAAAGGAACACAAAATTACATGCATAACATACAAATCAGTACCAAATCATACGTTATGTGTGTTGTATTTAATCACAAATTAGATATTGGTAAAGCCCAAAATGGGTGTGTTATCGACGACGAAGAGGTCTTAATCAGGCAATGAAGGTGATGAACAAGTGCCGCCTTGACTCCAAGATATGAATAAGGTGATGAATGTGATGAGCAGACGATGAACCCCTTTGCTCTGATTCATATTTTACTGTTGCAGCCACTTGAGGTTCTTTAGGATTCATTAATTTCAATGATGAAACCCGATGAGTTTGAGCATGACGGCAACTGGGAAGCTCCTTATATCAATCTGGAGAATTAGAAGGGAAAGATGGTGGATGAGATCGATCCGCCGGTGGAGGAAGAAAACTCTGATCAGCCACAAGCCCTAATCTTCAAAAATTGTGGATGATTTTGATGGAGTCAGGTAAACAGAAGAAAGGGAGGCAAGGTTTATGTGTATAATGAAGATATAAGGATATGCGTCGATGTCAGGGGGTGGAGCTACGCCGGTGGACCGACTCTGGTTGTAGATGATGTTGATGGCGAATCTAAGGAGGCGATTTTAGAGGAGCTCCAACACTCTTTTCCTAGGTTTCATGGTGGCTGGGGGAAACATTCAGAATGAAGAGGAAGGGAGACCAACGTGGTTTGTTTCATTACACCAGAAAAGAAGAAGAAGAATGGTGAACAGAAGAAGGATGTATGGGGATGAAGATGACGATGGGTGGGGTAAGTATAACCGGGTAACCGGTTGTTTACCTGTTAAATGGCGATTTTGACACAATTAGTCTAAATATCCGGTTTTAATGAACACAAAAGACACCAAAGGGTAAAACCCACAATTTCTTGAAAACTTAAGAGCTTTTATGACATTAGCCCTTATATTAATGGTTCAAAAGTAGGTTACCTGAATAGGTAATGAAGCAACACCTGCAGCTTCGACTCCTAAAACAATATTTGGATCACCACCCCATCTAAAATCCATGTCCATTGATATTTGACCTTTCTTAGGGCTTTGAATACGGATTCCTACACATATGGTTTTGGAAGGAATGGAATATGTTAAAGAAGATGTGAGTTTTGGAACAATTTTCCTATAAATTATACCTTCAATTTTTGGTGCCACACTTCCAAGAGAAAGTTTGCTAAACTTCAAAGATGAAATTCCTGATGGACGATACTCTTCCAATATAGGTTCAACAGATTCTCTAATTATTATCGTAGCAGCCTATAAAATGTAACATTTAATACATAGATATAATAATCAATCAAGAAAATCAGGAACAAAAGATGCAACCAGTTGAAACATGGTTGTATAATACATATAGCATAAATTGTTAAAGAAAAAAGTGAAAAATTATTCCATAAATTGGTAAAAGAAATGAAAATTCATTGCATAAATTGGTAAAAGACATGAAACATTGTTGCATAAATTGGTAAAAAACAAGTGAAAGGTATTTGCATAAATAAGCATTTAACCGATGCAACCATCATGAGGTAACTGGTTCTTGGTTATAATGCTGCATATTTTGGTAATAGATTGAAAATAATTGCATATTTAATATAAAAAAACCACATTTTGCAAAAAATGAGAAAAAAAAATGTGAAACATTGTTGCATACATGTACATTTAACCCTTTAGAAAATACTTAAAAAAGATAAAGAAATTACTTCGGCAACATACGGCCACAGTTTGCTTAGTTGTTTGTTAAGCCATTTCACCTGAAATATTAGTCAGGAAGGTGAGAGACAAAAAAAAAAAAAAAAAAAAAATTATCACCACAAAGTTTCAATAGCATATAGTAATGTTTACTATGGGCAAATGGGTATTATGTGTAATTCAAAATATAAAGACTTTATGTAATTTTTCCTAAAATATATAATAAGAAATTTAACTCTAACCTGCTCATAAACAGGAAACGATATCCATTCAGGAAAATTATCACCACAAAGTTTTTTTAAATCTTCTCTATCAAGAGACCCCAGGAGCTTTATGTCACCTGCCTGATCATAAAAGTAAAGCATTTCAATAAAGCTCAAACTATTTTGTATAAACCCTATCATCACTAGAATTAATATGATAACAAAGTCAGAGGTGAATACTTAATACGAATCCCTAATGAACTATTATTACAATTTACACAAACTCGATATAAAAAAAAACAATCAAATTCTTCATAATATCAACTAATCATAACAAAAATTTGATGATGAGGTAACTAATTACCTTGGAAGTACGATTTTTGCTTCTTTGTCTCATCATATGACGCCAACCCACCATAATCCCAATTCCAAATAAAGCCCCAAGAAACATCCCAGACATGAAACCCATTTTTGATCGAAATCAAATCACCTGTAAACACAAATCAATTGGAAATCAAAATTTCGAGTCAATCATCACAATGAGAAAGATAGATCGATACTCACTATGTGTATCCAATGTGTGTATGTTTTTCTCTCTCGAAATTCCGATCGGTTTCGTTGGTTCTTGGCATTCTCTGTTAATAAGTATCCATGTTTTTTGCAGATGAAGGATCAAGGGTAGCGTGATGATGAAAATACGATGACGAGTGATTGCGAGAAGGAGCTGTAGATGTTCATCTAGGTTCACATCAAAGTTTTGATTGCATGTAAATTTGTTGATGATTTGTGATTCCGTGAAGAATATGCTGGACAAAAATGTGCTTTTACGAAACTTTTGTCTTAATATGAAAATACAATGCAAAATAGAAAAGAGAAACAAAGTTTCCTCGAATAGTTAAATTTCCGGATTAATTTTTTTATTTTTAAAAAGACCTTTTATTTTTATAATTTTTTAGTTTTTTATTTGATTACTTTAAGTTTTTAACGGGATGTTTCAAAAATGTTTAAAAAAGACCTTCCAAGTTTTCAAGCTATTTAAAAAAAATAAAAATAAAAGTACTTGATGTTGGAAATAAGTTACACCAGAACAATTGCAATCCTTATAATCCATCTGTGAATCATTATACCAAACTGAGGATAACAACAGGGACAAATTGGTCCAGCTGTGAGGGGCAAAATGGTCCAGTTATGAGGGGCAAAATGGTCCAGCTGTGAGTACATTGCAGCCCCTGTACATAATAATTTTCCACAATGGTTATAGCAGCATTTAGTTAATCTTGAAGAAGTTCATCATGAAGAGCTATAATCATTTTTTTGGAACATTTCTTGACAGTTGACAGTAACAGTAACTGTCCATTTATGGTGTGGGGATGTTACATGCTTAATCGTTTCATCCACAGTTCATCAATTTTTGTAAGATCTGCTGCTTTCAGAATTCACGGTTACTGGTGGGAGTTTTTTTTTCCAATATTTTGACCATTTTACCCTTATTAGTTAATTTTTTATGTAGTGCTGTTGTTGTGCTCTGTTTTCCAGCTTGATGTTTAAGTTTTTTTTGCTGTCGTTATAGACGCTTATTTATCCCATTTGTATCATTTATGTTAATATAATCAACCATTTAGATTTTAACAAATGTTTTGAGTCGTGGGTATAGTGCATAGTGCGTTAATCATTTGTAATTAAAAGTGGATTTGGGTGTTGCTTCTGTACATGGGAAGGTTATTGGATGTAAAGAAATAAATACACACATAAATGCCATCACAGGACCTGAAGAAGAAGAAGAAGACAGTGCAGGATGCAGGAGAAGAAACCCCAGGAGAAGTCGTTCCTTATTATGAGCAAAAGCCCTAATTGGATTTAAAGAAAGAAATACACATATAAATGCCATGTCATCCACTCTTTCTCCCACATCATTAATCTTAGGCCAGCTCAGCAATTTTACCCATAAGAACCGGTTACCATTAGGTGGGATGCGAACAAAAGATATATTTCATTGGTGTTTTTTATACAAAGACTTTAGTTGGATGATATTTTTTAAACATGCAAAACTTTGATGATCTTTTTTGAACATTTTTGAAACATTCTTACCCTAATAAGTCATTTTTCTGTTTTTAACGGTGTTACTTGATAATATTTCGGTCTTAGACAATTTTTATTTTCAGAAAAACCATCATTTTTTTTTCTGGAACATCTCTCAACTTTTTTCTTTTCAAAAAAACTTCCATTTGACAAATTTTTTTGAAATATAATTTCATCTTTTATGTTTTTTTTGTTGGAAACATTGTCAGATCCATAATAATGTAATTATACCCGTTTGAGACTCAATTTTTGCTTCCGTTTGAACCAACTTTTTGTTTTGACTTATAATTCACATGTTCTTTTTGTTGTTGCTTATAGTGTTTCTTAATGGTTTTATGCATTATTGTGTTTCTTAATGGTTTTATGCATTATAATATGAAAGAGTCATTTGTCTTGTTCGAAATCTATTTATACATGTTCAAGATTGTAGCAAGTGAAGAACAACGGTTTATGTTGACTTAGTATCTTAAATTGTCTTAAGAATTAAATAGAAAGACAGTTTCTAAACACTAATCTATATTTGGAATATGCTTTAAGTTCTTTATGTTTTCCCTGTTAGAAACATTATCAAGCCAAACTAGTTAATTGTTATTCACATACTACAATCTTTGAGCATCTTGCAATTACATAAAGATATGCATTTTGCCAACATAAATTGGACATGTCTTTTTTTGTTTGAAAAAATCAAATATTTTCTATAATATATTTTGATGTTAAAAATTATCAAAAACACTATACATTAACATCAACAATAAGAAAAACATGAGAATTAAGAACAAAAAAAAAAGTTGGTTTAAAAGAAAAGTTTATCAAGTGTGACTGTGTGAGGGTTTTTTCGAGGAAGATGTTGAGGATGTTTTTCGGGAAAAAAAAGTTTAGGGCTTTTTTTTCTTTTTAAAAGTTGTAATTAGAAGATTACATGTAAACCTGCTAAAGGAGACAAATTGGAAAAAAAAATGAAAAAATGCTATTTTTTTAGGAAAAATTTTGAGGTTTAATATGAAAATGTGTAGACTCTTTTTATGATATCAACTCATTGATAAAAGAAAAAAAATAAACAGTTTACAATAAATAACCTCTTTTATGATATTAACTCTAGAAACCAAAAACTTCCTGCCATCATGCCTTGGTAGGGACTTAACACATGTAAACTTCAATCAAGTCCAAACAAAGCTTGAACTTCTCTCTAGGCAATTACCTTTGTCAAAATGTCTGTTAGATTCTCCTTGGTACCAATCTTTTGAATGCAAAACTTATCACAGAACACGATAAGTTTATCCACCTTCAAAACAGAACTCTAAAAAGGAGCATACATAAATGATCTACTTATCACCAGATCACCTCCATGGTACGAGTCTACAGATCCAACCAAGTTACTATGTCATGCGTTAGCACCATACACCAACCAGGCATCAAAAGTTCTCGTCAAGTGTCGCAAGATCCACTTGACCACTTCACATTGAGCTTTCCTAGGATTACGTCGAACCGCCAAAAGAGTATCAATAGCTTTTTACTAATCAAGGTAGAACGACTACAAGACTTACTCAATGTAAAGAGAAATGTATAACTGTCTTGCTCTTCTATCCTGCTGACTCTCCATTTATGATATCTAATTTTAGCTCCTAAATCCTTCATTACAAACTCATTCTTCATAAGCTCCTTCAAGTCATCTTTTTCGGCATCAACATCACCAGACCCTTTTTCCCTATAGTGTAAAAGGGATTCCCCATGTCTATGTTGTTCCTTTCCACCTTGTTGTTCCTTATTTTATCACACATCTATGTGGGATCTGTGTTACAAACTCCACATTCTAGGTAATACTCAGATCATTCCCTATAACACGTGTACCACCTCCTTTCTGGTTACACATAGGAGATTCATCAAAGGTCACATCTCTACTAATAACGAATTTTTGAGTATTTCCTTTTTCTATACACCATAGACAGTGACCTTTCACTCCAGTTTCATATCATATATATATGCACTTCATTTCCCTTAAACCTAGTTTAACATCATTCATACAAGCGTAAAAAGGGCATCCAAAAATTATAAACTAGAATAATCGGAGGGTTTCCCAGACCACACCTCTTAAGGAGTCTTACAATCAACTGCAATTGTTAAGAAGACGATTGGACAGTACTTCGGCTCTAAAAATAATATTCTTCAATGAAACCGGGATGTTTTCTCAAAAACCGGGCTTCACGCGGGCAGAGTTTCGGCTCGAAAACTCTTTTTCTCGGAATCTTCGGGGGCGTCGGGATGCTTCGGATGTCCATATGTAACCGGGGTGTCGGGGTAGTGTAGAGGGTCTTAAAACCGCTCGATCTATTATTCGAATTTCGTCTGTCTTTTTATCGTTACGCTACTATTAACGAGATCTTTGATTCTCGTTTAGGTTGTGTCGGCTAAAAACCGCTCGATCTATTATTCGAATTTCGGGTTGCATACTGCTAAGCCGAAACTTCGAAAAATCATAACTTCCTCGTACAAAGTCAGATTTGGGCGTTCTTTTTATGTACGCTCTCGGTTTAACGTATTCTACGACTTTCTTTTAGATCGCTAAGGCCAAATATCGCTCTATCGTAAATTCACTATTTACGTCGCGCTGTGTCGTGCCGGTTCTGTCGCGAAACTTCGACGAGTCATAACTTCTTCGTTCTAACTCGGATTTCAACGTTCTTTATATGTATGGAATCCTTGTAACATATACTAAAACTTAGTTAAGATTACTCCTTCTAAATAATCTTCCATTAAAAAGTAATTTTTGATGCTCATTGTCCTTAAATTAACTAGCCCGAATCTGCGGGCGTTACAATTATCTCCCCCTTACGATGATTACGTCCCGGAATCATCAACGAAGTAGGGCCTGTATAATGATTCCATACGTTATCTTTCCATCCTAAGTAATAACCGTAATCTATATGTTTCTTCGAACGAGTACGTAGCTTTTGGACTTCTCGATCTCAGGTAGTGCTCAATCCTGCATATGCTCTTCGTACTATGTTGGACGCTCAATCGTAACCTTTGAGTTACAAAATAAATCCTTACTGAGGACTCCTTCTTCTTTTTAGGATACGTACTTTCCTTTATCTATTGTAAGAGACCAATGGGTCTTGCTCTAACGATCTCTCATCGAATGATGCAACGCTTAGACTCATGTCTCTTAGAGTCAAATTCCAGAATGGAATATACCTTCCTTCATATTCTAATGTGATATAATCACATTTTAGCATGTAGCATTTCTAGCTACAAGCTTCTTTAACAACGAGAGCGATGCTATTGATCGCATTGATTTCAATCTTCTGACTTAAGTCAGATGTTACATCGAACTTGGTTCTCTGAACCGCGTAACAAACTCATCGTAGTCGGACTCAATTTGATATGACCACTAGGGTCGGAATAACAATAATCTCATTAGTCATTACCGAAACGATAGTAACGATATACATGAACAAAAACGAAATCAATTACTAGCTTCTTGGTAACCTTGTGACTTTCCCTGATCCAAGTGTGAGTCCTGTGCTTCCAGTAGTATAGATCTCTACTACTATTCACACCTACTCATACTCATTCCAAGTATTGTCTCGTAGTCCCCAAGTCCTAAAATCACAAAACAATTTAACACATACGAATGCGTCTAATTAATCATAAAAAATTTCCTAGACTCTACTAGGACTTCTTCCATACGTATCTTCAATCATCAATTCTACTTCAACTCGGTTGGTGATAGAAATTCCAAACGATGGGACAACTTCAAGAATTACACCAATCGTTCCATCATCCTGCCAATCGAAGGTGTACTTCAGACGTACCGTACTCCTCTAAACGTTCTGTTATTTTATCAAACACATTCTAAAGGCAAGATACCACTCTTACGATATCTTCTGATAGGTGTCATTCACTAGCATAAGCCTTTCATTTCCTCCATCTACTCAATTCTCTACGAGTCTTCACCATAACGTTTTGTACACCCAAGCAGACGCTCGGTGTATTTAGGTGAGAATTTTTAAGATAGGAAAGCTTTATTTACGATAGATGTACAAATCTCCTTATCACTCCGAAATGTTTACATGCTAGTTCTAATATCGTAGTCGTACGCTTAGAATCCTAAACAAGTAAGGTTTCCAGATCCGGTCGGCAAC